AAAACAAATAATGTTAGTCATGATACTATGTCGAGGTCACAACTTGTTGAAGCACAACATAGTGATCCAAAAATCGCAAGTTTATTTCAAAGGGTTTTGCCAAAGATTGAACTCTGAAGTTCCTGTTTGTAACCCTAAGAAAAAATGGTGTCCTTATGAGGAAATGGTGCCTTCTTGATGTCCAAGCAAATGAGATTGGTCAGTCAGTCACCAGATTGTGGTTCCTTAAAGTTATCGAGAAAACATTCTGAGCTTGGCCCATGATACCCATATTTCAGGTCATTTAAGACCAAAAAAAAACTTTTTCATAAGATCCAGAATCATTTTTTTGGCCAGGATTGAAATCAGATATGACTCGATATTGTAACTTGTGTCAAACTTGTCAAATGGTAGGCAAGCCAAATCAGACAATACCTAAAATATGATAAACAAGATCAACAAGGAAAGGCGGCGTTCAATGAACGCAACCCCAATATGACCCAGCAACAATAACCAGTGGCAAGGAGCCCAGGCGGACCCCAAACAAAAACAGGACAGGGCAAAGACAGAGCACGGACAGATTAATCACCAAATGACAAACAATTTGTAACTGATCTTGTTAGTAAGTTACTGATCTGTAAGTTACTAAGTCACAGTTACATCCCATTCCTGTAATCGAAGAATCATTGAGTAGGATTCTAATAGATTGTGTAGGATCTTTGCCTTAAACTAGGTCAGGAAACGAGTCTATTCTGACAATAATGTGCGCTCCTACTCGTTTTCAAGAGGTTATACCTTTGAGAAATATTAAGACAAAGACCATTGTTTATTCCCTAGTCAAGTTTTTCACTTTTGTAGGTCTTGCAAAATATGTACAGTGAGACAAGTGTTCGAATTTCATGTCTCACATATTCCAACAGGTCATGCATGAATTTGGAATAAAGCAATATAGATCATCGGCTTATCATCCTGAGAGCCAAGGTGCTCTCAAACGATTCCATGAAACTCTGAACAATATGATAAGTAATTCTTTTGACACTCAAAGGTAATGATATGAAGATTTTCTCTTGCTCCTATTCACCGGAAGCGAGTCTGTACAAGAATCTCTAGGTTTCAGTCCATTTGAACTCGTGTATGGACACACAGTTCGCAGACCTTTGAAAATGTTTAAAACAATTCTTGTCTCAAGACAATTCACCTGTAAATTTACTGAAGTTTGTCTCAGACATTAGAGAAAGATTATCTAGAGCTTGTGAGGTTGCGAGACAAAATCTCAGAGATTCTGAGAATATCAGCCGGTTTCAGTGACTCACCCTATCTCGAATGAACAAAACTTTAGTGATATGAATGAATGTAAAAATGTGGCAAAAACTTATCCTTGTATACCAAAACCTGAACATTTTGACATTTTGAAGAATATAGACCAGAATTTTGTTAACCTTAAACCTTCACAGCAGAAGCAACTAAAAGAGCTGGTATATGAGTTCAAACATTTGTTTCCAGATATTCCCACATGAACTGATAAGATATACCATGACGTTGTGCTAGAATGTGACACGTCATTGAAACAAAATTCATACTGGATGAATCCAGTCAAACAGCAATTTTAAAAAGATGAAGTCAAATACTTGCTAGAAAATGACTTTATAGAACCAAGCAAGAGCAAATATAGTTCGCCATGTATTCTTGCCAAACATCTCATATAGGATGTACAGATACTATCGTAAGATAAATGCAGTCATAAAGACTGATACATATCCAAAACCGAGAGTGGATGATTGCATAGATAAGGTTGAAATATTTACTTAAAGACTTTTGGCAAATTCCACTGGCTGGGAATGCGAAAGAAATATCAGCATTTGTGACTCCTAATGGGCTTTACCAGCATAAAGATATGCCTTTCGGCATGAATAATTCGCCAGCTACATTTCAACGGCTAATCAATTCTGTTATCACTGGTCTCGATGGATGCAACGGGTACATCTTCAGATCATCAAAGCATTCTTTGAGCTATTGAGCAACGCCAAACTGACTATCAATCTACCGAAAAGTGACTTGCCATGCAACATTGACATTCTTAGGAAATAAGGTGGAACAGGGTCATGAGAAACCAGTTAATGCTAAAATATAAGCTAATTATGACTTACTGTACCTACATGTTAAGAGACAATTGATGAGATTTCTTGGTATTATCTTCTTGTTTTAGATGCCCATTATTGTTTTCAGAGACAAAAATCCCCTAAAATTTTTGCATAAACTCAAAAATAAGAATCAGAGATTGTTAAGGTGGAGTTTGATGTAACAAGAGTATGATCTTGACATAAGACATGTTAGGGGAAAAGATAACATTATTCCTGATGCTTTATCCCGTGTATAATATACCATGTTAATTGCCTTACGCTAATTCTAAAAGATTTATTTCATAAATCTTTTTCAGTAGGGGCATAGGTGTTATGTACATAAGCTTTATTATAAATGATTTTAGTATCTTTTTCCTGAATAGTTCAGCAGGTAGAGATTGGTAATCTCGAGGTCGTGGGTTCAATATATATATATTGTAGATAGTGTTTTAGAGGTATTTAATTATTTGCAAATTGTAAATGTTTTTCATTGAATTCATTTGTACATGGAAAATTATTTAATCAAAGTAAAGTTGTTATATTGAATATTTTTAATAAGTTAGAGTGTAAATTTGAGTTAATTTTCCTATACTTTTCTTTCATATATTTGTTTTACTCAAATTTACTCGAATTAATTGTCATTTTAAAACCAACTGCTCGTGCAGGATATGTTAACAACATGTTTAGAATGTCTACTTTTGATATAGTATCGTTGTTTTGTGATATTGTTTGGTGTACATATAATTAATTACATTAATTTATGGTTGATACTATGCATGCGGTCTTTAGTAAAAACAATGGCGTTTTACAATGGTACAAGTAATAAAAAACAATTGTCAAATACTTTTAATGAACTTTTTCTGCTACTTAATATTTCTTCTGACCTTGTGTCACATTACAGATTAATGAAGCATTGACTGTCTTTGACCAAAACTACACCATCTTCTAATGTACACGTTGCGTAAATGCGTAAATGGTGTAAAACTTTCCCTTTAGATAATGTCATATGAACAATTTACTGATAATGTTTCATGCCACAAACTCTATCAAAGATCTTTTGATGTCTTCCATATTCTGTACACTAACTTTATAATCACTATGTAGATAACATGTAAATAGATCCAGAAAATATTACATTGAGTTAAACCTTCATTTGATGTTATTCTGACAAAAAATGTCCGACAAATGTTAGATCATACTAGTTTTTTTTATAGAAATGGGCAAATGTTAACTCTCTAATTCTATATACAGAATCCGTATTTGCAGAATACTGATTTTCAAAATTTAGTAATAAACAGACAACGCACAACAAAGTTCCCGTATATAACGAGTGTACGGATCACTGTATATAAGTCATAAACGGACTTGCATAATATACGGTCCAGTACATTTCCGTATTTCAAGTTCCCGTATTTTAACCGTATTTTAATGAAATACAGAACTCGGTACATTTCCGTATATCTTTTTAATTTTCAAAATTTAGTAATAAACAGACAACGCACAACAAAGTTCCCGTATATATCGAATGTACGGATCACTGTATATAAGTCATAAACGGACTTGCATAATATACGGTCCAGTACATTTCCGTATTTCAAGTTCCCGTATTTTAACCGTATTTTATTGATATACAGAACTCCGTACATTTCCGTATCATTAATTGAAAAATGTACGAATTCCTTGGAAAAATATTGTTAAAACCCTCTAGTGTTCCGTGGTTTACCTTTTTTTACTCGACATACAATCTTTTTTCAGTAGAATAAACTTTAACAAGATTAGCGTCTGTCACCTAATTCAGAGAAATATTCTGTACATGTACAAAGTGGGTACCGTTTTAGTAGATTCCGCAGAGGGTATCGATGAGGATATGTACCTTGTTATCAGTGAAAGAGATTTTGTCCATAATTATACAACGAAAATTGAATTTACATTAACTTTTCAGTTAAAATTAATTTACGCGATAAAGAAATAAAAGACCAGACAGTTATTTCTGTTGTTAAAATAAGTTGGCTTTTTAAAGAATATCCTGTATTTTTTTCTTCTTAAGCTACTAAAACGGGGTAATATCCACGGCTGATATCACTTTGGAGCAAAAACCTGTTGGAGAGACAACTTTCATTAATTACCGAACACTATTTTTTCAGAAAATTAAATACCAGAAAATTATTTCTTTTGTACAAATTAGTTTATGTGTTTTTGAAGAATATCTTGTATTTTGTCTTCTATTGTTGCTAAATCGGGATATATATCCATATGGTTGATATAACTTCGGAGCGAAAATACCTCTGGGGAGTGAATAATATGGGAGAATCAGCTTTATTTCTCTCCCGAGAACTATTTTAGGGGTTTGTAAAATTAAATGGCGAGTTATTTTCTCAACCCTATTCACATTTTTTGTTTTCCAAAATTATTTTCTAAATACTTTGGACAGGGTAGATGAATGTGTGAAGGTACCGGACAGGAAGCTTTTGTTTCTTATACCTTTCATAAACCATGATAGACATGATCGATAAAGAGCAACAGATACAAAATAATAAACTTAGATTAACTTAGAATACTTATAACATCATAATGACTCTGTAAAATACTCATTTAAGTGTTTTAAAATGAGCTTTAATTGAATGCTTACAGCTGTGAAAAGAGACTCTTTCATTCATGTTTTTTCACCGAGAAAAAAATCATATGTGCGAACAACTGATATAGTGAGTTAAAAGAAAGCAAACGTTTTCATAAGACGTAAAACCCCATCACATACGATGTATTAAGCAGAATGTTAGCGATATTCTTCTTAATATTGATATTTGTATAAATTCACTAATAAGGTACATATGTAAATCGTTCATATTGATTTATCTTTTAGAATCGTTATTATATTCTCAATTTAAAACGTTCTATGTATTAACACAATCTTGTATATCACTTAATATATGAATGAATATCCTTAGAGACTAATGCAACATTTGCCGCATTGTCAATAAACATACGAGTTCTTATTTAATAATATTGTCCTATTCATATATTGGTAATAAAATTTTATGTAGTGAAATTGATGTGAAGAATATTCGTAACCTTGCGAAATATTAATGAACGGAAAAAATAATTGTATTTTGACAAAAATACTTTAAAAAAGCAATGGCATCAAATATCTTTAAACGTTTCCATTCTATTCAGATACTTTTATTTATTGTTATTTTCATATTTATGTTTGAATTTGAACAAAAAGTTTTTTTTCATGTTGAACAATCGAGAAACATCACACGAAGAAAGGGGTCGGAAATAAATCTGCTGTCACATAAAATGTTCGAAGTGAAGCCGAAACCTGGGTTAATGCAACTCATCAATCCCACTGAACCAAAATATGCATTAACGTTAAATGGATCTTATCTGCTAGAAAAAAAAGATATATGTTCGTCAGTGAAACACTTGAAAATGTTAATACTTATTCTTTCAGCAGCAACCAATTTTCAGAAAAGGGATATCATAAGAGAAACTTGGGGAAATACAAGTTCATATTCCCAATACGGAATAGTCAAATTGTTGTTCCTCTTAGGAAAATCTGTTGATACAGACATTCAAAGAAATATAAGAGAGGAATTTAAACGCCATGCAGATATCCTTCAAGGACAAGTTATAGATTCCTATCAGAACTTATCTCACAAAACTGTTTTAGGCTTAAAATGGCTAAATGAACGGTGCAGAAACTCGGAATTTATATTAAAAACCGACGATGACATAGTTGTGAATATGTTCCTTGTTTTTCAAAATGTGTTGCTTGATATTGCTGTTGATAAATACCATGTGCATTGTAATCATTTAAAAACATCAAGAATCTTGCGATCAAAAACATACAAAACTGCTGTTGAACCGCATCAATTTAGAGGCGTAAAATACCATATGCCATATTGTCAAGGTAATTACGTGTTGTTATTAAATGATATTGTCCCATCCTTATACAGGGCTGCATCTATTACACCATTTTTTTGGATTGACGATGTTTTTAGTTATGGAATCATTATGAGTAATATACCTTCTTTGAAGTACAAGCGAATCAAATCCGATGAACATATATCGTACTCAAAACTTACTAGATTACCTTGTTGGAAGCGAATATTGCCAGCATGTTGTCATATATTTATTAATTCTGGTAATGATTATGAAACAAGGGACGTTTGGTCAAAAATAATGAAGCAGTATCAAGACTTCAGCAATAAAACGTTAAACTATTGCTGAAATATGTTTTCAACATACGAAATATCAATGAAATAATAAAAGCAAAATACTTACAAATACAGTGAACTCATTTGTGTATCTGTGTGTGTGCGTGTGTGTGCGTGCGTGCGTGTGCGTTGGTGCGTGTGTATGTGTGTGTTTTTTGTTCTACATAAAATGTTACCCTGGAATCTTGTGTATTCATTGATATTGATATTGTAGCAGATTCCAAATATATTTGTTCAAAACATCCGGCAATTGAGACAATCCTGAAATGTTATTTGCCAGCTGAATAGCACCTGTTTTGCGGATCCCGGGTCATCAATCTGTCTGCGATAAAAAAATATTCTTAAATACAAAACTAATACCGGTGAAATAGAAAACATCGGATTTTCTACCATTTATGATCAAACGAGATATTTTATTATTCTTTAAAAGTGTATAAATCTATTATATCGTCTTCAAAATACATGTTTGAATTAAGGGAAGAATGCTTCTAAAAAACTTTACGAGAGGAAATATGGTAATATAGCCTTAAAGGCGGATGCACGAACCCAATGCAAAACTGTCAAAAATATTTCAGCATAATTTTTTGTTCTGAAAATTCTATTCTATTTTTTCCTGGGTTAAATAACATAAACATTGTATGTCACAGCTCCTACGCTGATCGACCATGAGATAATGGAAACAATCATAGTGTTGATAACTGTTTAAAAAATGAAATATATAGCTTAACATCCTTTGAGACAGACATTAATGTTTGCTCTATTTACGATTTCACTATAATCATCAAGGGAATAAAATGTTAAAATATAACACTATAGTTGTCTATACTACATGCATGTTGTCTCTAAAACGTAAATGTACTTAATTTTTTATCATTTCAACACCTCTACAAATAAACGGCTTTTCCGCTCACATTAAAAAAACAGTGTTATGCAGATAATTGTGAAAAGAAAGACCGTTTATTAACATTTCACAAACATAAAAACACCCTGTAGTACGAAATAAAAGTGAATATATGCATGCACATTAAACGGTCATTTTGTAATTATTGTAAAATGGAATAAAATCCACAAAATTCACAAAAAAACTTTCATTCAAGAATTTTTTTCACTATGACATACGACATATGGCTTTATGCCTCACTCTATTTTTTTTCTTTTTTTCTTTTTTTTTTTTAAAATATCAAAACGAGTTTCCAAAGATTAATTGCTACAGTTTATTTAGGACAATGTCTGATTGCATGAGAAAATCCGTCAGTGACCAATTAAGTCATGAACAGAAAATCTACAAGCATGACTTTAAGTAACCTTTCAGTAGCTTTATTTATTTTCCTTATTTAACGTTGTGCCTCTGCAATATATATTCTATTGTCCGTTGAGTACTCTTTTTTTAACTGTTGCCCTAATTCATAGCAGAGCTTTAATGTTGCAAGTTCATTTGCGTACGGGATGAGAACGAAATACACCTATTTCCTCTGTTACAAAGTTATATGTGGTGATTCATATAATCGTTATAAACCGGTTCGTTGTTATTCAATGTCCATATATTACCAACATTTTTATAAAAAGAAGTCCGTATATAGCTACGAAATTCCGTGTTGTTGCTAACACGGATTTTGTAGATATATTAAAGATGTACTTCTCTGTTTGAAGTACCCATTTCCGCAATCGCACATTATTTTATCATTAATCAATTTTCGGCTTTTTGTAAAAAGGTAATATTCTGACGCTTTATGTCTTGTGGAGACTTATTATTTGTACAAAAAAGCACATCATTGCTACAGTATTATATAACATATAACAATACAACAATTACTAAATTGTTAAAACGTTGTTTAAACATTAACCATTGGGTTAAATCAATGGTTAAGATAACTTGTGGGTTAAACTTTGATTTAACAGATTGTATAAAAGTCACGTATTTATTTATTTTTTTTGGGGGGATGGGGGCGGTTGACAGCAAATTCTTGCACTTACAATTTATTTATCTGGGTGCTTTCTTCAGATAATTGGAGTCACACCTTTGGAATTGAAATTGCAACTGTGTCCCGACAATCATGAGAGTTACGGAATGGGAGTACATCAAGTTTCCGATGACCATGAACGACAAGCGGATTTCCTTTTGCACTCAGATTATATTTGTCTAAGTGCTTTCTTAGATAATTGAAAGACACATTTGGTACTGGTATCACAACTGTGTCCCGGAGAATTTGCGAGAGTTAGGGAATGGACGAACTGTTTGACTTGAGGGACAAGTACACCAATTTTCCGATGGTCAGAGAGCGATAATTGGGATTTTTTCCATGTAATGGAAAAGATGACATTCACATAAGAATTCTTTTCAAACCAAAAGAAGAAGAAAGGGCTTACGTGAATCACAAGCGTAAGTATCCATAAACGTTCAAGCACCCTGCAACTCCCTTGGTAAAAACACTGGTTTTTTTTGTTTGAATATGTGTCATGACAACCTACGTAACATTGATTCTCCTTTAAGATAGGTTTTTTAAAATGGAAAAGTAAATGTTACATGTTGTATATATTTTGATAATTATTACTGACATTGCAATGTGATTAACATTTAAATATAGACTATATAAAATCATTTCTTTCAGCTGCAAACACAGTACATTTTTAATAGAAAAGACAATGAAACTCCCATTTTTTGTAGTAAACAAACAATATTCAAGTACTTGTTTTGATGTACTTCATGATTTTAGCAATACATCAGGTTTGAACAACATATACATGTATAGTCATGATGCTTAAAAAGGGACTTCCAATTACAGAAATGATTGATCACATTTGAAAATACTTATTTCACGGAATGTTTGATCTGGCTAACAAAGTACTTAAGTCATCCTTTGCTGTAAATTAAATGTGTAGTAATGTGTCACAAAGGTAAACTAATGTAACAAAGAAGTAATAAGACTTCGATAAAAAAAATACTCATTCACTATGATTATAGGCGTTGAAAACAGAGCAAAGAAGTAAACGATTGTAAATCTAAATCTAAAATCTAAGTTAAATTCTTTAAGTTTTAATATCTAAAACTAAAAATTGGTGTTCTTTTCTAGTATCCAAAACGTTACTCATTGGCTAATTACCTGACTATATTTTGTACTTGATGCTTTTTTTAAAAGTAGATCAAGTTAACTTGAAGTCAGTATTTCGTAAGAAAGTAAAAAAAAATGCTTCTTTGTGTGCATTTCGCTACTTTAACCACAAAATGTTTCACATTTATTGCCAACTTTTCAGGTCACAAGCATCAAAAATATCTAGAGCCATAACATCAAAATTGTTAACAAAATGATCGAAAGTTTGTTTTATTTTCTGAGGCAAAATTGGTTTGTGAAGCAAACAGCAAAATTTATTACTTTTTTAAGGAAAATTTTACGGTCAACTAAAGTATAACAATTTTCTAATTGATTGCATAAAATTATGATGTTTGTTAAAAAGACAGAAAATGTAAAAAAGAAAATGTCTGCACAGTAATTACGGTGATAGGGTGAGATGCGCAGCTCATCATTTATTTAAAGGATAGATGTAGTTTATTTGAAAATATACTGATCACATTAATGCCAATGCTTTAATATTTCTTTTTTGTTATTGAAAGTTGCTTCACATTGTTACTTGCTTGTGGTTTCAACAAAACAAAAACTTTTAACAAACTTTTAAAATTATATTTTGGTTCTTTAAATGTGTGTAAATACATGTATACAACACTGTTTAGTAGTTCACATTTATAAAATAATATATGTGTTATGTTATAGACTTATATGTTGCATACAATTATAAAATGCTTTGAAATTCAGATCATGACAATAACATTTATACTATCAATCAAATAAAATAACCCTAGGAATATAGCATTTCATCATTTTCTACACATTAACAGCCTTCATCATTTCTAACAAGTGATGAGGTTTCATTGCATATACTCTGTGAGCCATTTTGAAAATGTTGATCTTTAAAACTTAAACACACTGACTCATGATTTCTGTAAAGTGAATCTTTGTTATTACATGTATAAATATCACTTTAAAGATTCAGTTTAATTTTCCATTATTATACTCAAACATCAGTATGAAGTAATCCACATGGACCACAATAGTATTATTGAATCACAAAAAAAGAATATTATTGAAAGATATCAGTTTTTAGAATTGATAAAAAAATCTGGAAACAAAGTGATCCCACGGAAGCATTAATCGCAACAAAATTACAAGGGAATTGCAGACTCGGTTTGATTGAGTCTGTACATGAGGGATAATGAATACGTGCAACATCCCTCACGCCCCCTAGCACCGGCTTGAGCGGTACTCAATTCTTAACACTTAATAGTGCTGGCATCAATGATGCAGAAGGACCAGAAAAACAAAACAACACTGAAGTGAAGTACGGAGCAACTTTTAATAAATTAAACTTATTTACAGAAACCTTCCTCAGTGGGCTGTATTTGTAGGTCAGTTATGGTAAATGCAGCAGCATTTCCATTGTCTTGTGTTGCTAAAGTCGGGATTTGTTTATTGAAAATCATGTTTTTAGAACAATCAGTATTCAATTTCAATGTTTATCATAATTAATAGCTATCTCAATTGAATATAAATTAACTATATTCTGTAAGTTTTTTTAGAAAGAAATGCAATTTCCTAATAAATTATTTCTTTTGGCTTATACTGTATAATTGTAACTGGAATAATTATGTATATAATAAATTTTTCTAGGGATGGCAACGAATACCAAAATCAATACTCGAGTACTCCGATCGAGTACTCGGTTACTCGGATGATTTCCAGTGATCATCACACAATATCAACACCGTCTGCATGCTACTTTCGTTTTCTATTTTAATTCATAGAATTCGTAACTATAGATAGGACTGCAAGAAATATATATTTAAATATAAACATAAGAATACAAATTTTCTCCCTTAATTAAATACAGGATGAACTTGAAGCGCAAATACGCTTCAACGGATAGAAAATTCCGTATTATGTTAGTGGCAAATACGGTACCATATATGGAAGTGCCGGACTATTTTTGACGTTGGTTCCGATCTTAGCTATGTATAAACGTAGCATTTGGAAACGGAAACCAAAATTATAAAAGGCGTGGCTGGTTTTACAAACATTATGTATTCATCCGTCGGTCAAAAATTTATTTCTTGACAGGTACATTTCATTTTCTGAAATTTCTTATAGAAGTGTAGTATTATGAAAATCATTTATAATTCAAACGAAGAGGTATACAGTATAATAAAAAGAAAATTATGTTGTAGTAGCTTTCTGAGCCTATGCATTTTTCTACTCGCAATGCTGGAAAATTGATATTTCGCTCGACCTTAGGTCTCGCGAGATATCAATTTTTCCACCGCTGCTCGTAGCAAAATACAAACCTACAACATAATATTTATATATTATAATAATTATATATTTACGTTTTTATAATTAACAAGTTTCGGCTACAAACTGTCTAATATTTAAAGGTGATTAAATACCATAAGAGGCCGAATGACGTAAACGACACAGGACTGTGTTCAATCTCAAACGCGTGTCAAACTGCTGATCGCCTCGTTAAATTTCACACCTCTGCAAGGATGTTTTGATTGCATTTAACAAGTATTTGTACAGATACGTGTACATTTCCGAATTTCTGAACTAATCGCAAAAAAGTAGAAATCAAATATTTTTTTCCGAGTAATCGAATATCAATTTTGTTAACCGATATTCGGACGTTCGATCGAGTACTCGGTTAATCGGTTACTCGTTGCCATCCCTAAATTTTTCACATTAATCGTAAAATAGTTTAAAAAAATACAAACAGAACCCCTTAATCAAAGAAAAAAAACTCACTTAGATCTTTTTGATTGGTAGTTGCCATGGCGCGTATAAAAATCAATTTAAAAGTCATATCAACAATACTTCCGCAAGTTAATCAATCTTTCCTAGACAACTGTCCAAGGTATACCATGTAATGCAGCTGATATCCGTAAGAACCAACCATTCAAGACTGGGTATGAGTTCGAGCTCCTCCTTCGGTTTCGCCAGCACGATTGTTTAGTGCATGTTTTTTTTAATAAAAAGTATTTGTATTTTAACATGGTACGATCGCAGTGTATATGTATGATTATCTATGGAAAAATAATTCAGAAACACCTGATAAATGTAAGTGTACAACTTTATAGAAGGGTATATCATTCATTTAAATTAGAGACATCATTTGTCTTAATATAAACCTTTAAGGCCCCCATTCTTTGTAATCAACGGCTTGAGTTTTTATGATACTTAAATTTATTATTTCTTTTCGGTTTCAAAGGTAAAATTATATTAGATTTGGATGTTAATTCAGCACGAAAAGTAAAAATGATAAAATATTCCAAGAAAAATGCCTTGTGTATTAGTCTTTGCTCCACTGGAATTAATACAACTTTTATTACTTCCTTAGAGTTTTATTTCATTAATTGTTTACATGATAACATCGTTACTTTTCTCAATTTAAAGTGAACTGAAAAAAAAAACAAAAAAACATCCTAACAATTGTTTCTTATACCCATTGCAATGCACGTACAAAATAATAAAATTAGTAAAAACTTTTCAACATTTGACGATTTATAGATAGTTTATGAAGAGCGACAACTTAGGACGCAAATGCCAATACTTAAAAAACATTTTTTTTTTAAAAGAACGCGGACTACATCATTCTCGTGCAACATTTGTATTTTTTTGTCAAAAAATGTTCTTCAACTTAAAATATACTATTTTAGGCCCAAATGCTGAATTTTAAAAATGAAGATTTCGGAATTTGGCACAATTATGTTGACTAGTGCTATCTTCGTATGTTCATTATTATTGAATGTAAGATCGATATACGCAGCAAACGATGGCACTGTAAAATACAAATATACGCTGAGTATTCGATTACATATAGGACTGTTTGGTTTGATAATTTTTAACAGGTTAATTAAAAAAGAAGTAGTTTTAAGCATATTTACATTGTGATCACGTCGGGAAGTCCTAAATTAATCGACGATTCCCCCACACATACACACCAATACACATAACGTGAAAAATATTATACAAAATATCTGTATCTCTGTTTCCTTTTTTGGTCCATGTGTATTGAAATATTTCAAAATTATTTACAGCCATCATATTAAGATAGCTATTTTAATCAGTTCTTGCAATATAAATCATTCCAAGAACGAAGTATGGTTAGTTTTATTTCGTTTCGAGTACAAATCAATAGTAAATTCATCTTGTTCTATTGAAAAAGTAAAGTGCATTCTTTATCGCCTCGTCCATGTTGAAATATTTGTAGTTTGCCAACCTTCCAACAAAATACACATTGTGTTCCTTTCTAGCTAAGGCTTGGTACTTTTTGTAAAGAATTTTATTGTCATCGTTTGGGATAGGATAGTAAGGTTCACCATGATCTGATGATTTTTCAATGAGCAAAACAGTGTCATTTGACTTATACAATTGGTTTGGCAACCATTTGTATTCTATTATCCGTGTGTAATTTGTAATGATGCTCGGATGGGTAACCATGCTTGTTGGCTGATGATGGTCTATGTTCTTTATAACGACCCTTTTGAACATTAATGATCTATATTCAAGTGGTTTTAAACCAAAGTCACTGTAATATGCGTCAATAGGACCGGTGAAATACGTTTTCCCGCACTGTAAGAAATGTTTTACAGCAAAGAAATCTGTATTTAATTTTACCTTGATATTTTTAGAATGAAGCATTGTCTGAAAGATATATGTGTAACCATTTGCCGGTAATGCCTGATGAGCATCTGTAAAATATCGGTTTTCCCAATCATGTCGAACCGGAATACGTGCTAATACAGAAGGATCGAGCTCTGCTGGTGATTTATTCCACTGTTTAATAGTATATGGTTTAAAAATTAATTCGTATAATTTTCTCCCAACTCTCGATAAAGCCACTTCTTCAGAATTACTTGGCGCGTGATCAAAATGAACTTGTTCATTTTCTAACCAATTGTCCATTTGTTTTACTGTTGTGATGTTAAGGCCAAACAAGGAATTAACAGTGTCAATATTCACCGGTAAAGGCACGTGTTTACCTTGCACATATGATTGCACCTTAAATTCAAATGGAATCCATTTGCTAAATTGTTGAACATAAGACCATACATGTTCATAATTTGTATGAAAAATGTGAATGCCATATTTTGACACCCTTATACCTGTTTCATTATCAATGTAGTCATAACAGTTTCCTCCAATATGGTTGCGTTTTTCAATTACAAGTATTGTCTTATTTGATGTAGCTGCATATCTTTCGGCTATGACTGCACCAGAAAGACCTGCCCCAACAATGCAAATATCAAATTTTTCATTACGAATTTCTTTTTGCGACATATTTTTCCCACCGTAAAAAATAATCCAAAACACTAAAGAAAGTCCAAATATAAACCTGATTATATTTAATATAGAATTTAGGTGCCAAAACTTTGTCTGGCTCATTTTGTATCATAATATATCTTCACGCCTTTTAAAACATATTATATTTTCGTTTTTACTTGGTCTTTCTCGCTTTCTTACAAAATAACATGTACTCATTGATTTATGTACACGTAAAGAATATCCTAGCTGTTTCCGGAAAGGTGTATCTAAGTTTTGTTGATATGTTTAAACATAGCCAATATAATGTCGCTCAAACCCAATCATCATCCATTTAGACAAAAAAAGGACAACGAAAATGTTGATGCTAAGGGTTGGAAACGGCTTTTGACTTTAAATTCCAGGTCCCTAGTTCGATCTCAAGGCAAAATGACCTTGTAACTATGATTTGATAGTGAGTCATTTTTCTCTATTATTATCATTATTATGATGATTATGATTATAATTATAATGATTATGATTATTATTTTATTATTATTATTATTATTATTTTAATTACTATACTTATGATTATGACTATGATTATTATGATTATGATTATTATTATTATTATTATTATTATTTTAATTATCATCATTATTATAATAATCATTATCATTATCATTATTATTATTATTATTATTATTATTATCATCATCATTAAAAGTAAAATTATTATTAGTCCAACAGAATCAAATACTTTTGAAGGTCGAATAAGCTATCATGAAGCAACTTAAGTTTTACATAACATACAAATGTTAGGAAAATAACTTTTATATCAATTATAAATAACAAAATAACAAGCTTTTTAGTTTTAATCAGTTGAATAATTGGTTTGCTTATCTTATATTCACGTAAGTGCACATTGTGTCTCAGAAATCCAGTTTTTTTTAATTCTTTGGAAATGTCAAACATGTGTTTGATAATGTTTTGATAATGGATAATGATACCTTGGGCACGAGAAGAAATAATGAGATGTGTTTTCTGTTGCCAAATTCACATAAGGGCTTTCTATTATGTTTTTTGAAAACAATTGCTCTTTGAGAAAACTGCAATATTTTCTTAATATTGTGTGTAAAAGCTGGTATTTTTTCTCACCTACATAGTAATAAGAAGGCACACTTTGGACATCCTCATTTTGGCTAGCTTTTGAAAATTGAGATATATGTTAAATTTCTGTAATAAACAGGAAGATTGTTCAAGTCTCTAATTGATGTTGGCAAAAATGACTGAGAAAAAAAGTTGCGTGACAAAATAAATGTCTAATGTTTCCTGCATTTCGTAAATTATTATCTGAAAGTTATCCTACTGTATCGGGAACCAATGAAGATATGTATTGAGGAGAAAAATTATTGAACATTTAATAAAGAAGAATTTGTTTGTGTTTGAAGCGTCTTGATTTAAGGGGTTTGATTCAAGTATCTTCATACAGATTAGCGATGGAAACTAGTTTTTGTGGTACCGGTTATTATTCTGCAGGCTTCAAGTTGGATTCTTTCAAGTTAAAATTCATTTTGTTGGAATATATTGTTCCAACCAACATCTGAGTATTCCAGAAGGGGTTGAATGAAAGAGAGATTTACAATTTCAAGTGTCTTACGACCAAGAATAAATTTCAGAGATCCCATAAATTAAATTCTTTGCAATGTTTGTTTTTGTAATATTCTGTTTGTGGGAATATCAGTTTCATTAGAAAATGTAACTCCGTTCATAGTCAAAGGGGGATGAATGGGTTTGTTTACCTTACGAAAGAATACAACTGATTCTGTTTTACTTAGGTTGAATTCTTCAAACAAACCATTTGCCCATTCTATATTTTTTCAGATCAGAATTATCAGACTTGAGAGTCTCCGCAGCATGTGGATTATCGACAACGACAACATATTTCGTCTGCAAAGAATCTGACATATGAGTTTATGTCAAGAACAGTGTCATTTATATAGATTAGAAAAAGAAGACGGCCTAGAATGGACCCCTGAGGAACTCCGGCTGAAGTAAAATGATTTGAGAGGAACCGCCTGGAAGAATCACCTTTTGTTTTTAAGCACTGACATAGTCGCTAAACCAATTTAAAAGCGCACCATTTATTCCAGCAGACTGAATCTTGAAAATGACACATTTGTGCCACGATATGAGGCTTTTGAAATATTGCAAAAGACAGCTCTAACTTCTTTTCTATCACCTAGGACTTTTGCAAAATATATTATATATAAAAACATTTTATAGGTTTTGGAGTAATTTAGAACAAACCCAGATTGTCATGAAGTTATTATGTTATTAGCAACAAAGAAATTAATTGAATATATGCTTATGTATTTTTTTGTTAAATTGCTGATTTAAAAGAAATGATTTGATCAATCCTGTATCGTAAAATAATAAGAAAAATACGTTTTTGAAAATTATCTTAAAGCTATTGTAAGGATTAATATCAGTGAAACTTAAAGTGTCCTTATCAAATTTCAGCAGGAAAAACAATTTTTGGAAAAAGAAAAAAAGCAGTTGACTCGATTTTTGCTGACACTTGACACGCATCTGCATAAAACAGCGTGTTTGCGAATGCAGAACTAAAGATTTCGATTTTGTCGAATTCGCATGAAATCTAGATTAAAATGGATATAGTTGAGTACGAATTATTTCCCTGAAATAGATCACGTGACATTCGTCTGTGTTAGGCTATGACTAATGTTTGGATCGCATATAAATATGGAACTAAGGGAAGCAAAAATTGATACCTGACCTGAGCAAATTACATTTTCAAGCTTTAGCCGTTGGATGCATATATCCACCACGCCATTTATGTTTTGTTAATGTTTATGCGGTGGTAATTAGTGTTATGGAATTTGAGATAGATGGAATCTGAGGATTTTTACTGTAGTACAGATGCATACAAACATTTTGTATATGAAAATTATGTCAGTACTTTTTAAGTTTCTTTTCACGGAATAACGTATTTGTCCAAGCTATACTTAGATGTATAGATGTATGTAGAAATTTGAATTTCCCCACGTCTACCAATATTCGAACCAAAAGAAGTTATGCTAAAATATCACTTGGAAAAAATTGCCCTGAACAAGTTAATTGGGATATCCTTAGCATTAATAAAGTATGAGGTCCTGTGTTTATGAACGCGTACAACCATGAGAAATGATATTTAAATCAAACATCTATTACGATAAAAAAAGCAAAAACAAAAAATCAACTTATGCAACGTGCTGAATGCTAAAGTGATGTTGCAAGATTTAATATCAAACGTGAGTTAAGTTTATAAATATGATTATATTGCTATAAAATGTATGAGTGACACAGCATCATGTCATCGACATTACATGGACTACATGCATGCACTTAAGGAAAGCGTTACCTAATAATTATTTGTCTGTCTTTTAACCTTAAAGTAATTGTTTCGAATCCTACTGAAATAGATAAATACAGAAGTCGCAACAGTGTATCTGTGTAATACAGAAGTACTGTGTAGTTGCAGGAAATGGACAGAAAGTGTTAAAAGTAAATTTCTTTAAATCTAAATAAATAAAGTAAATTTCATAATCAAGATGTTATAAATATCACGTTAAAACTAATATAAAATATCTCATCATGGTCTCGGTTTAATCAGAATACTTCATAAAACAGTGAAGAACTATTTCAGATGTGCTACATGTACTAAAGATCCAACAGTATTTTATCAACAATTCAAACAGAAACACTAAAAAAAGTACTAAAATTTGTCTTTTGTTTTGTTTTATACTGTTCTGGTCCTTCGTGATCATTGATTCAAACCCTCTTTTAGTGTTGAACATTGCGTTCGGATCGAACCGGTGCTAGGGGGCTTGAGGGGTATGGACCTTTTCATTATCCCTGATTTACAGATTTGACCAAATCAAGTCATGTAATTTTGTTGTGAATAATGCTTCCGAGAGATTACATTGTATCAGTTATTATACTCCATAACAGCAGGTGTCAAGTGCCGTGATGCAGCTGAAAAAAGTTGTCTGTTCTCACTTCAGTGTTGTTATTTCTATCTGATCCTTCGGGATAACTGGTTTCAATGCCTTGAAGTGTTGAACATTGAGTACTGCTCAAGCCGACGCTAGGGGATTGGTTCTTGAGCCTTATTACTTAGTATTGGTTTGTTCCCGGAACGGATCCGAGTTAGTGTCTTCATTGTACAGAATGCCTCATAATTGAACTAAAATAAGTTGTATATTAACTATTAATACATGTCAAATGTCTTAGTGCTAGGTAAAAATAGTCTTCTAAAAATACTTGAATTCTTTTCCGAAAGAAAATCCATTAAGTGGTTTTTAGGAGATGTTATTCAAAGAAATTGTGCATAACGACGGACGATGGAACTCACCTCTGAGCCCTTTCTCTGGAGATGTAAAAGCAAATGTAACACATTGTGTAAAATTAACGTCACGCTCTTTTTTATAGAATATTTATATGTGCTTTATGCAGTCCGTGTGCACGCTAATCAGAATTACTTAAATAAGTTAGAAATGTTTCTACTGCAAACTTTGCGGATCTCACTGCATATAGTCATGTGTTGAAATGCTTGGTTCTTTTTAACATATTTTTTAACGTTAAGTTACTTATACATCGAAAAAGAGAACACTGGTAAAAATGGGCACTTCCCTCATCTGCTCAATTGTTATATTGACATATAACTTGTGCACACAATTTCGTAATAATGTAAACATGTCCTCCTTAATTCGATCATCCATCATGTCAACTCTTTACATATCATAAATGATTTCATTAAGAAATGAACGTTCTAATTAATTGGATATAATTGTATATGATGTACCATCAAATAATTCTTACTAAACTGAGGATCAAGAAAACAATTTGAAAACAAGCAAATACGTTTCTTTTATGGATGAGATACATAAAGGTTTCAGATAGTGATATCTAGTGATTTATAAATCCTAAGATATTCAGAATGAAGCAAGATGTAATTAGTTTTTTTTCGGAATTGCAAATATAAAACTATAAATTTTGATTATAAAACGATTTGAATCATTGCTTATTTTTACACGATATTTTTTCTGTCTCTTTTTTTACACTTTAAACTGCCAAAAAACATTTGTTACTCCCAAAATGCTTTTATATGAGCTTCCTCCGATGAAATTGATAAATATTGAGCATAATCGCAGATTGAAAACAAAAGTGTTATCTAAATTTAGAATCTAGATATATTTTTTTCAACCTA